AGGCATTGTCATACCCCGATTCTAATTAATTTAATTTATGTATTTATTTTAAATTATGGAACTTTTTTGTAAGAACTTGAAAATTATAAGGTAGTTATTAAATTTCCAGAAAGTATATCAACCTAACCCCGAATTTAAACATCATTTTTAGCAAATATGATGTGATCTTCCAAATTATGTTATCCAGTTTCCACTTTTGATCTGCACCTCTTTCCTCTGTTTTGAAAATCAGATCAGACCGGTCGGTTCAACCGGGAATCATTGTCTAGTCCGGTTCAATCTAAATCGGTTGAACTGTTATTAGTGAACCGACCAGAACCGCTCGATCCGGACCGGCTGAAAACCGGAAAAAATTGGAATTTTTTTTTAAAATTAAACCAAACGTCGTTTGTTAAACGAGCCAAGTCGAACTCGAGTATTGCTGAGCTCGACTCGAACTTGAAAACTTTAAAAGTAAGTTCAACTCCACTCAAACTCACAAGTTAAAAATTATCAAGTTCAACTCGAACTCGAAATATAATATTAAAACTTGAACTCAAAAAGGCTTGAACTAAAAAAAAATTTAGAAGCTCAATTGAAGCCTAAAATTCGAGCTTGATTGAAGTGAAAGAATAGTTCACTCAATGCTTACCAAAAGGCTCTATGATTTTGAATTCCAAATTACATTTATTATTTATAGAAGTTAGTTGTGATGCGCTTCTATGTTTCTTAACAATGTGAGATTGTTTTGTTCTCATATTTTTACTCTTTAGACTTTTGGGATGCTCTTCTATGTTTCTTAGCCATGTGAGATTGTTTTTTAATATTTATGTTTTACCTTAAATATTATGTTGTAATTAATTTGAATCATTTTGTTTCAATTGATTTTATGGTTTTTAATTTATATATGTTATGACTTGTTTTGAATATAACTTATGATATAAAAAATTATTTTTTATTAAATATTTTTGGTATTTTTATTTAATTTTTTAAATAATTATGACATCGTCTAGTTCTTCCGAACGGTTGGACCGATTCGAGCGATTAAATCAATGAACCGGTAACATGACCGATTCACTAACCGATCCGATTCTGAAAATCATGCCTCTTTCTTTAAAGCACCATTTTTACGTCATTTTCTTTTCATTTCCAAATTTCTTCGTCTTTTTTTACAATTTTAAGATCTGTTTTTAATATATTTGTCGGCAAATTTAGAAATTTTTTAAACAAAACAAAAAGTTGGAATATTCAGACCAAAATCTTTGAGAATATTATTTTTGGGTAAAATGTAGTTTGATGACGTGAATAAAATTAGAAGTTTATTAAAATGAAATTTATGTTACAAAGGTATTCAATGTAAATAAAAAATAATTTATTAATTAAACGAAATTTCCGTTTTAGAAATTTAAAAGCAACGATTAGTATTAAAAAATAATCTAAATATAGCAACACAAAATCTTATTACCATTACCAAAAAATAGAATTCAATTAGTATAAAAAGAAAAAAAAAACCAATTTTTTAGGAAATATTTCTTGATTGCCAAGTAGAGACCTCCAATTGGATCAACGGTGAAAGCAAAGATAAACCGACTCACATCTATCATCCCACGGTTCACAGTTTTTCGTTAATAAAAAAATATTTTAACCCCCAAAAACCCCAATCCGTTTAGGGTTTTGGATTCCCCTATTTATTTATCCCCTCTAAAGAAGCGATCATTTCTCATTCTTCTTTTATCGCTGAAATTCTCCCTGAAGAGTCTTCCTCCCCAAAAGAAAACAAGATGGGCAAGGGTCCTGGTCTCTACACTGAAATCGGCAAGAAAGCCAGAGGTATAATAATACGATTTATTTTTTTAGCAGAAATTTCGAATCTTTCATACTTATTTGAAGCTTCAAAGCTGTAATATTTATGTTTTTTTTTTGGGTTTTATAGATCTTCTTTACAAGGACTATCAGACTGACCAAAAGTTTACTCTGACTACTACCTCTCCCACTGGAGTTGTAAGTTCTTATTTCTTTTTCTTTGGGGGTTTAAATTTTTGGTTTTCTATTTTTATTTTCTGGAGTTATCTATTCTGTTTTTCTCTAGATTTTTTTTATTAAAGGAATTGATTTTAGTTTCTTTGCTCTGTGAAAACCAAGTTTTGATTTTTGTCCTGTTATGATATTTTTGAGATTTCTTATCTTTCTTTCTGGGTTTCTTTAGCTTGATACAAAATGGGTTTCTTTAGCTTGATACAAAATGCATGTTTTCTTTATTTCAGTGAACCTGAATGCTGTTTTTGTTTACATTTTGAATTTATTTTTCTTTAGGTTTTGTAAGACCATTTTTCATGCATGTCTTATGGTAAAATTATGTTAATTACGAAAAAGAATGAATAATTTAAGCTGGTCTTAAAGGCTATTATATAGATGTATCTTTTTGGCTCTTTTATATGTTTTGATTAGTGCATTTCTTGCTATTATGTTTTATGATTTTAGCATGGTTATATCGTTCTTTTGACTTCAATTATTCTGTGTGATGCTTGATTTCTTGAATGTGAACTAATTCTTTGTTCGAGGGTTTTCCCTCTTTATCTTTAGGCAATCACCTCTGCTGGAACGAAGAAAGGGGAACTCTTTCTGGCTGATGTTAACACCCAGCTGAAGAACAAGAATGTTACAACTGATATCAAAGTGGACACCAACTCCAATGTAAGTATTTTGTCTGTGTTTTTATTTGTTGATTTGTTTTTTATTTGATGAGTAGCTTGGTTACAATTTCTTTTTAGTGCGTGAGATATGATGTTCTTTTCTCAATTGGTTTTACCTTCTCCATGCACGGATTATCCCCTCAACTTTGAAGCATGTGTTTTAACCAGTAGGATGTGTGCTTGATAAAATCATTTAGAACATAATATAACTGGAGCATGATGTAACTTTTGGGGATTTAATCTTTTTGGTAGAATTCCTATGCAAGTAAAGGATCTCTTTGGTTGAGTTCATAGTTTCTTTCTTTTTCCTTGTATTCCTTTGCTATTGATTTATGTGCATGCCATCTTCTATAAGATATGTTGAACATTTGTTGTACTAAAGTTGTTTACATTTATCAGCTATTTACCACCATAACGGTTGATGAGCCTGCGCCTGGGCTGAAGACAATATTTAGCTTTAGAGTCCCTGATCAGAGGTCTGGAAAGGTACACAACTCTGTCATCAAATTTCAATTTGCAACACTGGGAACTACCATTTTGTTTTGGCTTTTAGCACAAGATCGTGTTACAATTGCCTCTAAGCATTGGGACAGCTTCATGATGCTGTTGGACATGTCTATTTTCTCTCCATGTATACCAGATTGAACTCCAGTATTTGCATGAGTATGCTGGGATAAGCTCAAGCATTGGATTAACTGCAAACCCAGTAGTTAACTTCTCGGGTGTGCTTGGGACAAATGTTCTTGCACTCGGTACTGATATCTCTTTCGACACAAAGACTGGGAATTTCACCAAATGCAATGCTGGATTGAGTTTCACCAATGAGGATCTCATTGCTTCACTGGCTCTGTATGTGATTATGTTTCTATTTACCTTTCTACAGCTGAACATTCCAAGAGTATATGTCTCTATCGTAATACCCTGATTGGTGCAGGAACGAAAAGGGCGACTCTGTCAACGCATCCTACTATCATATCGTGAACCCGTTTACTAACACTTCTGTTGGTGCCGAAGTGACCCATACCTTATCTACCAATGTGAACACCATCACTGTAGGAACACAACATGCATTGGATCCATTGACAACTGTGAAGGCACGGGTGACCAATGTGGGCAAGGCGAGTGCTCTGATCCAGCACGAGTGGCGTCCGAAGTCCCTGTTTACAATTTCTGGAGAGGTGGATACGAAGTCGATTGACAAGAGCCCCAAGGTGGGACTTGCATTGGCACTCAAGCCTTGAGAACTTATTATGACATAATGAGCTCATTTTGGTGAAAGAGCATGGCAGGCATAAGAATTTCTGTTTAGCGACTTTGATGGTGCTGCCATCTAACTACTCCTTTATGCCAATGGTTTTTCATTTTAGAAAATAATGAAGTGAAGAAAAATAGAGGCGAGATAACTTCTTTAAATCATGTTTTGTTTTACAATTCAAAGCTTTAGTAGGTTGGTTTTCTTAATGGAAGTGGATAATTTTACTCTGCAACAAATGAAAGAAATACAGACAAGTTGATTTTCATATAAAATCTAACAAAAGGAAGACCAAAATAAATCCAACCGTTGGAAGGCATGTCCTCTGTTGAAAATGGCACAAGTAAATACAGTAAATTAATTCCTTAATCATTTTTGTTCCTTTCCCCCTCCCTTTGACTTCATTAGCTAGCAGCCCGTCGTAGGTACAGTCGGGTGAAATTTCTGTAGGGCTTAACTACTGTATTAAATTTAGTCTACTAATGTATTACTAGGATTAATTATCTTTTTACACTTTAATCTACTATTATAAATTGACAACCTTTAGTTGATTGAGGAACAACAACAACAACAACGTGCATGGCGGAATTGTTTGGAGGAAGATGCAATCGAAGTGGACAAAGCTTGCCGTCCAAAGGGTTTCGTGAGCAAATGGTAAACTCCTCATCCACACCCGTCTCCTCCTTAAAAACCTTCTTCAACTCCACCACCCTACTGCCTTTAAACGTGAAGCTTCGCTCTCCCATCGTCGCATCAACATCGCCATTTTTATTGACCACTTCCTACTTGATTACCCTTCCTTCAAATGCCGCCGGTGAACCTTCTGTTGAGTTATCAGGCTACATGCCAAGATAAAATATTCAGACCAATGAGTTTTTATCAGGCTCTCAAAGTAAATAAATTCATTGATTAAACCAGGACCATGCTCATCAAACCTCAAGTGTAGACGTTATAGGTCCCCTAAGTGATATCTCTGAAGGTGAACCATGATCGTCCGAATTTGATTCGATATTGGTTTTATCATCCCGATGTTCTAGAATCTCAACGTTCCAAAGGATCCAATCTTGTGTGAAGGATCAATGCGGGATATTATCATGTGTAATGTGACCCATCCACGGCGGGAACCTGCCGTTGGCGCGCAAATACTGGCCGTAACGCGTCTTGAACCTAACCTGAACGCCTTCACTAAGTGGCTCCCATTCAACTGAAGATGTCAGTCGTCTCGGCAACGTTTGCAACACCCTTTTCCCTCGGAGTCCGATGAGAAACAGCATATTTGAAGCCGTTAAGTATTTTCCGTGACAACTTTTGAGACGAATATGGAACGAACTTGATTCGGGGAACTCCCTCGCCCACCGCGCATTCCTCGACGATCCATCTCGATCTTGGCCGATGGTTTCCTGATCATCGTTGGCTACTAAGAACTTGTCATGGTGTCTACATAAACGAACAACACTAGCTTTCTCGAAGATTTCCATGGCTACCACTCTAACAGAGATTGGAAGGCAGAAAGGAAATTGAGGAACGTTTGATGGGAAACGAGTTTTATATTGTCAATGAAGAGATAGGAGAGACCGAAATTTAAGCACCCAAAATTCAATGAGTAACAGGCAAAGCAAAATCAATGTCCAACAATACTATTTTACGTTTATTTATGCCTAATGTTTAGAGAAAATAGTTTCCCATGTGTTAACGGGTTAAATATTTTCGTCTACAATTTTTTTTTACATTTTATTAATAATTTATTTCTCTCAAATTTTATAAATTATCTTTTCCTTAAAATTTATAAGTTTGAACTCTTGAATTAGATTTGTATAAACGGTTTATTTTTAGAGATAATTTTCTCACATACTTGACCCTAATTTATATTTATCGATGATCTTTCTTTAATTTAATTTCTTGTTATGGTTCGTTTGACACAGCACTGCCGAACAAAACCTAGAATTTCCCCCCCCCAAAGCATCGCGATGGGACTCCAGTTGTTCTTCCCCCACCGGAGGTCCTGGAAGCCGGAATTTCAGAATGGGAACTGTCACTGGTTGGGCAATTCCTCGGAGCAACACCCAATTTCTCATCTTTACAACGGATTGTCAACAACCTGTGGAACAAAGCTTTACAAGGTTCACAAGTTCAGGTGAGTTCGGCTGGTAACAACCTTTTCATTTTCTCTTTTAGCTCAAAAATTGCTAGAGGTTGGGTGATTGAGAACGGTCCATGGCACATTCATAACAAGACAGTGATACTTAGGAAATGGGAGTCAAATTTGAAAAGACTTAGCTTTGATTTGTCAAAATTACCAGTTTGGGTGCATCTGTTTAATGTTCCTCTTGAACTTTTTAACCGAGCTGATCTAAGTTATTTAGCAAGTGCAATAGGAAATCCCATTTCTATGGATTCGATTACTGCTTCGAAATCCAGACTTGAATATGCTAAAGTCTGTGTTGAAATTGGGGCTAGTGAAGGAATTCCGAAATTTATAGATGTTGAACTGAAAGATGGCCAAACTACTTCGATACAAGTGGAAATTCCTTGGATCCCACCATCCTGTAGAAAATGCAAAGTTTTCGGCCACTTAGACAAGGGATGTCTGCAAAAACAGAATTCAGCCTTAACAGTTTCCCAAGTCTGGAAAAAGAAGGGAGATTTAAATCCTAACTCTGGATCTCCAACAATAGGAGGAGTTGAATTACTACAGGAACCTCTGAATTCTGGACAAATGTCATCTGAAGAACAGATTCCTACTGAAGCTGTTAATGTAAACATGTCAGATCACAATGAGACTTCTATTTACTCTAAAGATCAAGAAAAACAGTTTGAGCAAACTGTTTCTGATCAAACAGAAAATGTTCCTAACGACTTAGAAGCTGAGAGGGACCAACAAACTAATGGTCTTACTGAGGTTGAAGATGATATAGCAGTCACTCATAAAGCTGCCCAAAAACGTGGAAGAGGTAGGCCTGTTAAGGAAAACTCAAAAGCTCCATTAGTTGGTTCTAAAAACAGATTTGAAGTGCTCCTTACTGCTGAAGAAAATCCACAAAGTGCTGATAGACCTCCAAGGAAAATACTAACAGCTTCATTGGGAGTTGCAGGTTTGGTGAAAGAGTTAAAATCAAAGAAAAAGGAACACATAGAGAAAGCTCAAAGCAATAATGTAGATGGTAATGGGGGTTCTGTGGGACAATCCTCTAAATGATAATCAGCTTTTGGAATGTATGAGGTCTTAACAAACCTCTAAAACAAGAAATAGTTCTTCAAAGAGCTAATCATTACAAAGTTGAAGTTATGCGTTTAATGGAGACTAGAGTCAAACTAGACAAGTTAGAGACTATTTTCAAGTCAAAGTTTGCTTATTGGAATGTTTGTACCAATTACAACCACGCTGTAAATGAGAGACTGTGGGTTCTATGGAGGAAAGGATTAGATCTTTCCATCATCCAAGTAACGGATCAGAGTATTACAGTAAAAGGAAACTATCTTGGAGCTTCTCTGTTCATCTCGGCAATTTATGAAAGCAATGACGGAATACTAAGAAGACAACTTTGGAACCAGCTTCGAGAACTTAATATTACAATTCAACACTCCCCTTGGATACTAGGAGGGGACTTTAACGTTATACTGCATTCATCTGAAAGCTCGGATCATGAGCTTTTTGGTCACTATCTTACTCCTGATATGGACGATTTCCAAGACTTCACACATGAGCTCGACTTCAAGACCGTCCATTTTTCGGCCCTTCTTTCACTTGGACTAATAAGCAGCAAGATACTTTTCTGGCTAGGAAGCTTGATAGGGTGCTAATTAACCCCTAGTGGGCTAGCTCTTTCCAGCAATCCTTTGTTGAATTCACTGCTCCGGGCATTTCTGATCATTGTATGGCCATAGTTTGGCTATCGAAGGAGATTCCAAGCAACAGACCGAAGCCTTTCAAGTTCTTCAATTTTTGGACACTTCACCTGAACTTCATGAACCTGGTTAGACATTCGTGCAAAGGATCAGTTCAAGGCAACCCAATGAATTTACACTTTATTAAATTGAAGATACTTAAAAGATGCCTTAAGAATTTAAATAGAAATAACTTTAGTTATCTCTCGGCTCGTGTAAGGAAAAAGAGAAGCGAAATGGAGCTACAACAAATACTCACTTTAAAAGCTGAAGATGTTATCGGTAAGGAGTTAATACTGCAATATGAGCTTAACACTCTTGAAGAGGTTGAGGTAATGTTTCTCAAACAAAAAGCCAAAGTGCAGTGGCTTAAGGAAGGAGATAAATGTTCCAAATTCTTTAACTCAAGGGTTGCTATTAAGAATAAAAGGGACACTATTCGGGTTCTGGTTAACGAGAAAGGAGACAGACTTGAATCTTTCGAAGAAATGACTGCCAAAGTGACTGACTTCTTCCTCAACCTAATCAGCTCAGTCGATCCAAGGGTCAGAGATACCAATCCTACTGTTCTTAACGATTTGCTCCATTACTCTCTGCCTGCAGAAGCAGCTACTAACCTGATTAAGGAAGTAACCATTGATGAGATTAAGGAAGCCATCTTTAATCAAGGGAATGATAAAGCTCCTGGTCCAAATAGATAAACTCCTATTTTCTTTAAGAAAGCATGGCCTATTATTGGCGATGAGGTGGTGCTTGCAGTCCATTACTTCTTCCATAGTTCTCATCTTTTGCCAGCTTTTAATGCTACCATTCTAGCATTGGTTCCTAACCCAAAGTCAGTTAAAGACTTCCGCCCAATTTCATAATGTTCAGTGATTTACAAGGCTATAACCAAGATTTTGGTTAAAAGACTAACTAAGCACCTTCCTGACATGATAACTTTGAATCAGACAACATTTATTAAAGGAAGAAACATATTTGAAAATACTCTCCTTGCCCAGGAAATGGTTAAAGGCTATGGCAGGAAAAACATATCCCCGAGATGCTCCTTGAAAATAGATCTTCACAAGGCTTTTGATTCACTTCACTAGGGATTCATTTCAAATATTCTTCAGGCGCTTGACCTTCCTACGGTTTTCATAGCTTGGATAGAAGCTTGTTTTACTCAAGCTAGATTCTCCATTTCGTTCAATGGGAGCTTAATTGACTATTTCAAGGGAGCAAGAGGAATTAGACAGGGAGACCCCCTTTCACCATTCCTTTTTGTCCTCTCTATGAATGTGTTATCCAAATTACTCAATTTGGGTGCTGCACGAGGCATATTTGGTTACCATCCTAAAAGCAAGAAGATCGGCCTAACACACTTATCCTTTGCTGATGATTTGCTAATTTTTTGCAAAGGTAATGTTGATTCAATTGTTGGCATCATTAGCGTTTTAGATCAATTCTATGAAATGTCTGGCCTAAAGCTTAATGCATTTAAAACGGAATTTTTTGCTGATGGAATCTCTTCAAGAACTTTAGATGCTATTAAGCAAATTTTTGGTTTTAATCAAGGAACCTTGCCAGTGAGGTACTTAGGTGTGCCATTAGTCACTCGAAAACTCTCCGAAAAAGACTGTGATATTTTAATTGAGAAAATCAAAGCTAGGCTTCATCATTGGGCTGGTAAGGATTTGAGCTATGCTGGCAAACTGGAGCTCATAAGATCAATTCTGTTTAGTGTTGTGAATTACTGGTGTAGACAGTTAATACTACCTCAATCTATCTTAAACAAGATTGATCAACTCTGCTCCCGCTTTTTCTGAAAAGGAGAAGATAAAGCCTCTTCCGGAGCTAGGATAAGTTGGGATAAAATCTGTCAGTAAAAATCAGAAGGTGGGCTCGGACTGAAGAATTTAAAATCCTGGAACAAAGCTTGTCTTCTGCACCTCATCAGAAAAATTCTATCGGGTGAAGGTTCTTTATGGGTTGCTTGGCTTAAAGAATATGTTTTGAAGGAGACCGACTTTTGGTATCTGCAGATTCAGACCAATGTAAGCTGGAGCTTTAATAGATTACTCAAATTAAGGACAAAAGCTTATCCTATCATCTCAACCGGTGACAAACAGATTAGAGACATATGGGAGGAGGTTCGGATCAAGGGTGAAAAAGTTGCATGGTAGAGATTGATTTGGTATCCACTTCACATTCCGAAACATAGCTTGATAGGTTAGATGGCTCACTTGGATAGACTTCTAACAAGAGACAGACTTCAAAGAATGGGGATCACTACTGAAGGTAATTGTGTTCTATGTTCTATTGCTTTGGAAACAAGGGACCATTTGTTCTTCCATTGCCCGATGGTTGCATCCTTATGGGATTCTATAATGAACCTTAATGGGTTGAGAAGATCTACTTCGTTATGGGGTGACATGGTAACATGGGCTTGTGGTGCTTGGAAAGACAAATCACTTCTCACAACAATATTGAAGCTTGCTTGGTGTGCTTACATTTATATTCTGTGGGAAGAAAGGAATCGAAGAATGTTTCGAGGTAGCTCCAGACAAACCGAGGATCTTCTCAAAATCATTAAGGAAAGCGTAGGAATACAACTAAAAGGAAAAACTATTAATAGACTTGATAGTGTTAATCTCACTCTGTAATTCTTGGGGTACTGTCTAACCGTTCATTTCTTTTGTATAGTTCTCTATAGACTTTTGTTGTTGACTTGTTTGTAGCAGAACTCTGCTTCTTTGTGTAATAATATTTAAATTATCCAAAAAAAAGAAATGAAATACAGTTAGATTAGAGTGTTTTAAAACTCATAGCGATAAAGATAGAAAAACTATTGAAAGTATAATTGTTCAAATGGTTAATTTAATTAACCGACTTAATTGGTTTACCCAAATTTCATTAACCAATTTTTTCTTTAACGATAAAATGAAATGAAATTCAGTTAGATTCGTGTGTTTTAAAACTCATAGCGATAAAGATATAAAAACAACTAAAAGTATAGGTGTTCAAGCGGTTAATTTGGTTAATCGATTGAACTTGATTACCCAAATTTCATTAATCAATTTTTTTTTTGTTTTTAACAGTTAAATGAACCAAATTTTTTGAATTAACTTAATAGAACTATGTTCTGTCAATTGATCGGTTAATCGGATTAACCGAAATTTATAAAAAATATATATTATATATTAAATATTTGATAACTTTTATTTATTCGGTTAAAACCGAAGTTTAAACACGCTTGAGCTAAATAATATATATATATTAAATATTTAATTATTTTGATTAATTAACCGATTTTAAATCGAATTAATCGAAATCAAAATTTAAAAAAAATCATTATCCATTAATCAACCAAACTCAAAATTAATCGTCCGAAATTATAGTTGGTTTTAACCGAATTACGATCACCCCTAAGTGAAAGTCCACCCCCAGTTAGATTCAGTACGGAGCAATCCAAGCAAAGAAGTCCAAATTAAACCCCAAATCAAAACTTAGTTAATGACTTCAAACACAAAAAGGGTGATGGCTTCGTTGTCCTCTGCTTCAGCCTCCCTTGTCAGAGCCCAGATTCGGCTCCCTTGTTTCAGGTTCTTAAATGTCCGAAACTATTTACATTCTCTTAGAAATCTTTCTAAGTATACAATTTAATCAGCTTAATTGAGCTAATGGCATAAAGTTGGGAACTTTGCAGATTAAATCATGTAAAGGTCCAGTCTTTGAGAAGATATAGGTAATGATGTTTTTGGTCATTTTTTACCGGTCTTGTTCATTTTTCTAGGTGATACCTGCTGAAAATATTGTGGCACAGTTTCAAGGGAGTCGAACAACTGTGTTTGCCATCTCGAAATCACCTGCTGAAGCACAACTATTTCTTGAGGTAGTTACAAGTTATCTTAGAAAACGCGGGTGTATCTTTGTAGTCTTTGTGTTCCTCCTTGTATGGTCGAGTTGGCTCTCTATTGCATTTTCCATTCCATGACTATTTTTCCTTTGCAGGCTTTGGAGCACGGACTTGGTGGGGTGGTTTTAAAAGCTGAGGATGTCAAAGCTGTTCTTGATTTGAAGGTAATCAGTGCCAGTTTCTGGATTTTTGAGTTGACCAAGGATCGTCCGTTGACATGATTTAAATTTTTAGGAGTATTTCGATAGAAGGAATGAAGTTCACAACAGGCTGAGTTTGACTAAAGCCACTATAACTCGAGTTCTTGCAGTTGGAATGGGTGATTGGGTTTGTGTGGATCTTTGTAGTCTCATGAGGCCTGGTGAGGGACTTCTGGTACACTCGTTATCTCACTTATCCCCAAACTCTCTGTAGGGGTTTAAATGTTTCTGTTCACATTAAGTGTCAATACGACCTTTTGACAGGTTGGATCATTTACTAGGGGACTTTTTCTTGTTCATTCGGAATGTTTGGAGTCGAATTATATTGCAAGTAGACCTTTCCGAGTCAATGCCGTAAGTTTCACCTTCAAAATTGGCTACTGCTAAAAAAGATGTCTAACTTACCCTCCAAATTTCGAAAATGTTGTAGCAGAAAGCAATCGTTCGCATATTCAGAGCAATTAACTTAGTTGTCACCTTTTCTTTCGAGTATTGGAATATACAAGGGCCTTTTTGTTGAAAAGTCAGAATTGTAGAATTGATGAATTCAATTCTTTAGCAGGGCGGTTGTTTTGAATTTGATTAGCATGGGACGACTGGCAAATGGGCGGCTAAATGGTCAAATTTAGGCAGTCAATTTTATTGAAAATTAGCAAGGGATAATTATAAAATTGAGTCCTTGAATTTTAGGATATTTATAAGATTAGTCTTTAAGCTTCAACTATAAATACCCTAACCCATTTAGCTTTAAAATTATCCCCAAATCATTCTAGCTCTCTCTTAAGTGTTTTTGTAAACACCTGTAAATTTTCTCCCTTTAGTAAAAGATCTGCAGCAGTTTGGAGACGTAGGCATAATTGACTGAACTCCGTTATCAATTTCGGGTATTATTTTTCCGTTTTTATTTCGCATTTTCACTAATCTGGTTATAGGAAAATTACTTGTTCTCGTTTTATTTCCCAACAACTGGTATCAGAGCTTTTTGTTATGAATTTTGTCAATTTTTCTATGAGGTTACTATTCACATGAATAATGAATTTTGTGAATAGTGAAATTTGGTCGGCGATACAAATTTGTCGACGGAGGTGTTCTAATACACTGTGGTTCGTAGAAATTATCAGAAACGATCGAAAATAAGCCAGATTTGAGTGAGAGCGATGGCTTTGAGAAACGAAGTTGATGAGCTCAAGAGGGAGCTGCTCATATGCAAGGGAGCAATGAGTGAATAGGATGTGCTCAAGACCTTCTTGGAAGGACTTAGACTAGGGGAGATGCTCGGGGGAGAGCAAGGAGATACCTAGAGACTTTCGGAGGCCATAGTTGTAGCTGGAAAGCTGACTGAGCTTGCAGGTGACAAGCCAAGTAGCGATGTGTCGTCCAGGCCTATGCCCAGAGATAGTGGCAACAGTGAAGGAGACTGAGAAAAAGGTGCAATAGGGAGATGGTAGAGAAAGCTCTTCGAATGGCCAACGAGAGTCATCGACTATTCGTAGCCAAAGAATGCCATAGAGAAAGAATGACAAGGCTAAGTCTGGGGCGAAGAAGAAGGTGAGCAAGGAAAAGCTTAAGTGCTACTTCTGTGATGGTCCTCATTTGATTAGAGGATGTCCCGAGAAGCGTCGCCTTACAACCATCATGAAGAGGATGAGAGAAGGAGAAGTAGCGGGAATTGGCGCGGTCGCAAGTGTTAAAGCTACCAAGTCAAAAAAAAAAAACTTGGTCCGATTGAGGGGATCAATGCGGCCAAGCAACGATCGAGACGAGGCAAGACTGTTGATGTTGAAGCAATCGAACCAGGAAGAAAACGTGACGAGACTGCAGGTGTCAAAGTAGTCGAGCACAAGAAAGGACCCGATTCGATAGCAAGAGATAAAGTTGTCAAGCCGATGGTGCAAAGTGAGCAAGTCTGCTCACAGTATGTCAGGATGGAGGCATGGTCCAAGTTGAGGCGTCTCATGCATAAAGGGACACTTAAGGAGTTTGTGAGTCGATTCAGAAAACTTATGCTCAAAGTCCAAAGTTTGACTGAAGAAGATGGATTCTTCACCTTCATGTTCGGATTGAAGCCATAGGCGAGGAGAGTGTTTGAGCGAAGGGAAGTCAAGGAGTTGTCTAAAGCCTTGACAACCGCTGAGTCCATCAAAGAATTTGGAGTCAAGAAGAACAAGACTTCCAAAACAAAATCGAAAGTCGAGGGTAGTGGCAAGTGAATCCATGATGAAGGCAAGTCAAAGGATGAGGAATGTTGTTCCTCGAGTGACAGAGAAAGTCCACTCAATGATGAACCAGTTGGTGAGTCTGGAGAAGAGGTGTGCAGTCTTGACACAAGTTCAAGTGTCAAAGATGCTAAGCCGAGAGTAAGAGTCGAGCAAACGAGAGGGCGTAGACTTAAGATGCCAGAAGTGTTGCAAGATTACCCGAGGGGAGCCGAGTCATCCAAGGTGATGGATGAGCCCAGGATCGAGTTGTCCAGAGAAGAAGACGAACCCATGATCGAGGGGGCGTTGAGAGTTGGCTCAATACGGTTAATTTTTTCCAAGGCAAGTAGAAGCCAAGTGCAGGAGGAGTTAGCCATGTCCAAGGAGTTTGTCGAGCATGTTTGTGTAGAGAACATGGCTTCAGAAACCATTATAAGAGAAGGGTCGAAGCAAGGGCTTGCCGAGGATGTTCAAGTGAGGAACAATACTTCAAAGATTAGTAGACAAGAGTCGAAGGGAGCCAAGACGTTGAGGGACAAGGCAACCACGGAGAAAGCGCTCCATAACAAGTGGGTTTACAAGAAGGTGACTACGGACAAACTGAAGTTGTGTTCAGCTTCAGTTGGAATGCTAGAATAACAGGACCAAAAATATTGCTGCATCGATCGAGGTGTGAAGACAGATTAAAATTAGTCTTTAAGTGGGAGATTATTGAAAAGTCATAATTGTAGAATTGATTCAATTCTTTGGCAGGGCGGTTGTTTTGAATTTGATTAACATGGGGCGACAGGCAAATGGGCGGCTAAATGGTCAAATTTAGGCAGCCAATTTTATTGAAAATTGGCAAGGGATAATTACAAAATTTAGTCTTTGAACTTTAGGATATTTATAAGATTAGTCCTTAAGCTTCAACTATAAATACCCTAACCCATTTAGCTTCAAAATTATCCCCAAATAATTCTAGCTCTCTCTCTCAAGTGTTTTTGTAAATACTTGTAAATTTTCTCCCTTTAATAAAAGATCTGCAGCAGTCCGGAGACGTAGGCATAATTGGCTCAACTCCGTTATCAATTTCGGGTATTATTTTTCCGTTTTTATTTTACATTCTCACTAATTTGGTTATAGAAAAATTACTTGTTCTCGTTTATTTCCCAATACTTTTCATGCCTCGGTAATCGATGATTGTTCTTTCTTGAACGCTAATTCTTTGAACAAGGTCTCATGGAAATATGCAGGGGCCTGTCCATGCCTATGTTGCAGTCCCTGGAGGTAAAACAAGCTACCTTTCTGAGTTAAAAGCCGGCAAAGAGGTAATTGTAGTTGATCAAACGGGTAAAATGCAGACAGCAATTGTTGGCCGTGTTAAGATCGAGACCCGACCACTGATCCTTGTGGAAGCAAAGGTTTGTTGACGGCATACTTTTTTGTAATGCTGAACTCTTTCATACGTTCTGGCTTCTAAAGATAAGAATGTTGATATCAAAGTCGATATTCAGAATTCAAAATGCTACTCTAAATATACATTTGCTGCAGATAGATGCAAATGATCGGACCACATACTGCATTCTTCTGCAGACGACCGAAACAGTCGTGTTGGTTTGTCCTCATGAAGGTTCGTTTCAACTCTCGGCTGTCATTTAGCTTTTGTTGGATGTAACAGACACTGCTTATCGTACCGGTTTAAGCTTTGCCCCACCTATGTTTCACAGGTAACCGGATGCGAAAGACTGCAATTCCCGTGACTTCGCTGAAAGCCGGGGACGAAGTTTTGGTAAGACTACAAGGTGGGGCTCGGCATACCGGAATAGAGATCGATGAATTCATTGTCGAGAATTGAATGAACCAGCTAGAACGACGTCGACGGCGTAACTCCTCCATTTTCCAAGATTGTTACCATCCATTTGAAGGCCTTCCAATGAATTATATATTTTTGACAAGTACATTATGCCTGAGAAAGACTTGTTCAATTTCCAGGATTGTTGCAATATAACGAATATAATATATTATCGTTTCCATTCATTTTTAAGTTATTATAAAGTAATATTTATTTTAACTATTATCAACCATTTAATAATAAACATTCAATTAATTTATTATAATTACTAGTGATCGAACATATAATCTTTAGAAATAACAATTATTCTTTTCATATTTTAATCAGTGAAATAAGTGGGTTCATGATCGTTTCCATCATTATTTAATTTCTGAAAAAAATGCAATATTTTTATAAATATGAACAAAAAGCATAAAGATTAATTACGATAGTATCAATTGGACCGTTATTTTAACTTTTGATGAAATACTGAGAAATCAGAATAAAGAAGTGGTGACAGTAGTTCACATGGACAATTGCACGGTAAGATACTTTGCATTGTCAGATGAAATGTACACACGTCACCTTAATATATATATTTAATAATTGATGGCAGAAAATTTTTCACAAAAAATTACTTTATTATTATTATAATTTTTATTTAATATTTTAAATAAAAAAATATAACATTAAATTGATATCACCTGTGGAAAATAAACTCCATTATCGATATATACACAAGTGGGTGAAAAATACGTTGACATAATTGAACTTAAAATTTTTAAGGGTCTATGTATCTCATCATGAGATACTTTTTTACTTTTTTGAGCAATGTTTTTAGAACAATAGTTTATAGTAAATTTACATTATAATAAATATTAAAAATATAATAGTATAATATGAAAAAGGAACATAAACATAATATAAATTTAAGGATCAATGTGGCAAAAAAAAAAACTAAAAAATTAACGTAGGAGTGAAATTTAGAGATTTTTGTTGTTGAAGAAAACGAGCCTCATTAAAACTCTTTTCTATAACCTGTAAAGAGAAAAGAGTATCCTAAGATTTTGTATTACTAGAAAAAGAATCATTGGACACATGAAACGTAATAATTTTGAGATAAATCGAGTTAAAATACAAGGCATTTTCAGAAAGGAGAGCCCATTTAACCAAAGTATGTGCCATAATATTGCAAATTCTAGGAGCAAAACAGACTTTGTAATTTAAATTAGCATCCAAAATCCTATGAGCTTCCCGAAAATAATAACCCTATATTGACAAGTCCTTCTCTGGTCGAGACATCTTGTTGACAACAAACGTTGAATCCAATTCAAAGATTACATACGTCTCTCGATATTCACTCACCAAAGAAAGTGTTGTATTAAGAGTATGAATCTCCCTATTAGATATTATTAAAAAAAGATATATGATCTTTTATCAACTAAATTGATATTTATTTAATTCATGCCACGAATTGAATCTTGAATTTTATCTATATTATGTATCTATCTACGTTAATGAAAATTTGACTAAAATGTTAAGAACCCTTCTTTTGAAATGATAATATAATATAATTATATAAATATATTTTTGAATATTTTATAAAATATTTAAATAAAATTTACCACGGGAATATAACACCTGAATAGATCCATATGTAAATCATTTTATCATTACATTTACAATCAATTATTGAATACATTTTTCACAAAATTAAAATATTTTCATCTTTCCATATATATATATATATATAATAAATTATAATGACAAGAAAAATATTATTAATTTTGATGGTGAACCGAACTCAACAAGATATTTGGGTGATGCACCTTTCAAGCTAATTTTGTTTCACAAATAAGTCAATTGAATTTATTGTGGTAATATTATCATTATCTTAAAAAAGAAGATATCAGCAACCTTTCTTTTAACAATTGCATGCAATTTTTTAAAAGGTTGGTAGTGTAGCAATCCCATATGATAATCAGCAGAAAACAAGTAGAGAATCGAATTTTTATTTCATGGCCCATGTTACATGCCAGACCTGGAACCACATGCACCTTAATTAACCACTATTTATTTTTCTATATTACTCATACTCGAATTTGTGGTACTATTATTGTTTTTACATATCTTTAGTTTGCAAGTAATACTTTTATATTTGTATCTAAATATACGTGAATGAAAGTATCTCATCATATTTTCCATTTTTTAATTTCTTTTCTTCCTTCATTGATGAAACTATTATAGTTTCGTTCCTATATCATGCTAACGTTAAAATCGTCATTTTTCAATGTTTACTTGGATCAATTGAGAGACGGGCAAACTCTCTTTATCGTTTCCTAATATTTGATCAGTTTATTTTTTTAAATCATTTTAAAACTAGTAAAATTCAACTCAAAACACAAAATTCGAGAAAACTCAAATTATTTTGATCTACTATATCTATCATGATCAAAGTAGAATTAAGATATATAACTATTTTATTCCTCCATCTTGTCACCGTTGAGATTTAGAAGATGATGCTCTATCATCAAAAAAATTAAAGAGAATCCAAAACTAGGGGTTGTTTCATATAAAATAAGAAAGTTTTGAGGCAATGCGATAATTTTTAAAACAAAAGTGTTCCATCATAACACACCATTAAGTATTTAATGACTAAGAGACTCAAATAGAAATAGAGAATAATTTGAATTTTTTAAAATTTTAGTGATTAAAGTAGAATCGAAAAGTAAGTTGAGGCAGAGAAATTTGTAATTTATCCTCAAATATATAAGTAGGAATTCAATAAAAGCACGGTAAGGAAGACGTATTATTAGAGAGACAATCCCTGGACATCGATTTTTCTGCCCTATATGTCCAACTCTATACAACAAAATCTCTACATAGACAGAACAATAATGTAGAAACAGCAATAAAACTTGTAATTTTGTCCTTAAACTTTGCTAAGCCAATCCCCAATTGCATGGAGCGCTAGTGCCTGTCGGAGAAATGGTTTTTAGTTCAATTGAAACTTGATTGATTGCTCGGCCCAAGGGCAGAAACCTTGCTGTTCATCTGCTCCATTGAACATATGGCAGTCCAAGCTCGAATCTTTTTGAACCACTCCGTGATCAAGCTTGGATGAACACTCGAGAAGTTGAACCATGTTTGTTGCAGGACTCATGGACGAAGCTCTCAACGCTGTTCTTGTTAAGATATCAAAGTTAAAATCAGGACTGTCTTCGCTTCCATTGCTGCATGCAGCATCGTTTTCGTTATTCATTCTAGTTTGTTTTGAATCTTTCTTCTTCAGAGACAATAACTACACCAAAAGAGGGGGAAAAATCAATCCCGATTTAGATGACTAAAAAACCTACTACTTGCTGCTTTCTGACACTGACACTTTGGATTTGTGATCAACAAAAGCAGCAGAAACATTAAAAAACCTTATTAAGGCATATGAAAGTGAAGATCTTATAAGAAAACCCTTCTAATTTACCTCTGCATTAAGTTTGGTGTTTTGAGCTTGAAGGGTATGGTTGTCAGCTTTGAGAGCTTCAAACAGTTTCTTCAAAGCATCATAATCTTTCTCCAGTTGTTTGTTCTTACATCTGGCCCTCCTGTTTTGAAACCAGATCGCTATCTGCCTTGGTTTCAACCCTAATTCCTTAGCCAACTGCAGTTTTCTCTTGGGACAAAGCTTGTTTCCCAGCTCAAAACTCTTCTCCAAAGCACTCACTTGTTCCGCGTTCAGCCTCCTCTTCTTCTCCCCCTGATGCGATCCATCGTCGGACAATTCATCATCTCCATTTCCATGGCCGCCATGCGGCATTTTCTCGAGCTTTCCAGCACCTGAGAAAGACACATAATTAAACACCCATTAACAGGAGAAAATGATGGATGAAGAGACATACCATGGAAGAATTGAGAAGGGGAAGAAAGGAGGGAATTGAGGGAATAAGGGGGGTTTTGATCTTGGAGAAGGGTTTGAAACATGAAAGCGTGGGGAGGGAAGGCCATTTCAATGGCGAAAACTATATCAGTGATGCACTTGGAAGAATCTTAAAGGGTAAAGGGGGGAGAGAGAGTGGGCATGGGCTATATTGGACTTACTCTCTCTCATATGACTGCAATATATCATGGTTGACAGGTTATGAGAAGAAGACATGGGAAGGGCGGTGATGGGGTTCACAGATGCTGAAAAAGCTATTTTTAGGGTAAAAATGTGTGACATGCATGGATAAAACCAGGGGTGTGGATATTTTTTCCATTATAAATTGTTTATATGGACGGAAATTCCTGCCAAAAGTTTCTGGCCCCTCGGTACCCAAGCACGAATTAGTGCCACGCGTCTAGGGATAGCCACGGGTCAAGTTGTTGCCCCACCCGAATTCTACTCTAAATGTAAATCTCGCTCAACCGTATTTAATCTAATATACTTGATTCAATCTCTCTCTCTCTCTCTATATAATTCATTTTTATCAGATAGAATAAAATTTTAATTTAATTAAAATAAAATAAAATTTTGTGTTTGATTGTCAAATAATATTTTAAATTTTAATGTAAAATATATACAAAATTTAGAAAGATAAAGGGATGTTTCGTAAACAACTTTTTAAAGATCATTTAGCTTATTTAAGTATAAATAGTTAATTGGTAATTAAACCCTCCATTTTTAGTGTATGATAAAAACTTCTTTTGAAAAAACTGATTGTGGTAAATAAGTTGAAAATGAAAACGCTGGAAAAATTCAACGGTTTGAGAGAATTGATTGCTAAATAAGATATTAAATGGACATATTTGACCTTATTATTTTCATATTTGACACCATGTTTTTTAAATATTCCTATTTATTTGTACTTGTTTGGATATGTATCTCTTTCTTGAATATTTGCGTAATCTAAATTTATTTTTGTCGCAACCGTCTTTCGGTTGGGCCCCAAAATTGGGCTTCGACTTGAAAGATGTGGATTAGAGTCGCCACCGATCATTTATTTAAAACAAATGGGTTGATCGGGTACCCTATTTCTTATCTGATATGCGTCTTACCAAAGATATGTCGGATTCGGGAGTAGGTTACAGTCAAGGAAGGATTAGCACCCTTGAACTGCCCTTTCGATATTATATAATTTCCAGTTGTCCTTATTAAGAAAGTTGTAATCTTAAATTAAAGGGTAAAATTTGATTCAAAATTGCTTACCTCTGATTAATTGAAGTTGTACCCTTAGAAAAAATGTTAGATTTGAAATGAAAAAAAAAACGAATTGAATAAAGGTAAAGAGTATAAATAAAAATAACAATCAGAACACAAAAAGGAAGAAAATAAATAGACCTAAAAAAATATAAAAGAAACAAAAAAATGTAAAACAAAATGTACAAGGAAATGCGAACAATAACGAATAAAGGCGAGAAGAAAATAACAAATAAGTAGATAAATAAAATAAATAAAAAAGAAAAATAATAATAAAAAAAACAAACGAAATTAAGATAGTGAAAATAAGAAGGATAGAAATTAATAGTATATATATATATATATATATATATATATATATATATATATATATATATAATACAAAAAAGGATAAATAAAAATAAATATATATAATATATAAAAATATTTACAAAACAAGAAAAATAATAAAAATAAAGTATATAAAGAATATAATAATCATAATAATAATAACAAGTAAAAACAAAAAAAGGAAAATATAAATATATATATATATATATATAATAAATAAATAAATAAAATATTTATATAAATAATAATAAATGATAAAATCGAAAAGAAAACAAAATAAGAGGCAAAATTTGAAGGAAAATCTCAATTGAAATCAAAATTAAGGATCAAATTAAATCTTTTCAAAACGAAGGGAACCAAAACGCGATTTACCCTATTTTAGACCAAAACACGCGGATCCCTCACATATCTGGGTCGGGTCAGGCGGTTTGAAATAGAAAACTTAAAAAAATTTCAAAATCCCTCATTTCTCTCATTCACACGAAAATGAGAGCCCCCCTTCTTTGATTTCTCTCAAATGTTCATCAAAGGATGAACAAACGTTGGGTTCTTGAAGAACCCAGATTTCGACCGTCGCTCGTCGCCTCGCCGCCGTCGTTGATCGGCGATGGCCGCCGATTATCGGTGACAAAATACCTTTTTTTATTTTTCAAAAGCTTTTCTTCTATTCTTTTAAAAGATTGAAACTTTTTTGAAAACGAACCTCAGGGGTGAATAGATCTAAAAAAGAAAACTCTTCTTTTTTCCCCTATGCTCATCGGTTTGAAATAAAAAAAACATTTCTTTCGTATGAATCAAAAACAACAAGACCACACATGCAAGCCTTCAAAAAAGAATAAAGGTATGGGTTTTACCTTTCGTTAACTTTTTCGTAATATTGCAAAAGATATACTTCAATCGTTCTCTTGTTGCTCGTAACTTTCTGCTTTTTATTTTCGTATCCACTGAATCCCTTTACAATGAGTGATTAAAATTTATTTATAGCAAAAGAAAAGATTACATTCTTAGATTTCTAAATGACCTAGAACTCTAATGTGTTTGGTTGCTCTTGTGGTGGACGAGCCTTGCGCCGGAAGATGTGGGCTATTGGTGGCGTGCGACGTGAGGACTTGCGAGGAAAGAGACGTACTGCATGAGGGCTTCTCGGTTGGGATGTGTTTTCAAACGGCGCTGGATGAGAAGTGGCACAGAGGAGAGCATGTTTAGGGTTTCAACAACCCTAACTGATATGGGTTACTCCAACGGGCCAGTTCGGGACTTGGGCTTGTATTTGGGGCACCAATTGGGCCTAGAAAAATGTAATAATAAAAAAAATGTAAATACTTTATAATATAAATATATTATATAATATTAAATAAAAAATTTGGCGTCTTCAGCTACCCCTCTTTGCTTATTATCGTGTAACGAAAATAGAGCAAAGATTAAAAGACGCAAATTTTGTCCATATCGAATGCCTTTCGTTCTAGAGCTGAAATATGATGTAAGACTGGTTTGTCAATATGGACTGAATTGCGAAATGACCCTCTCGTCGTGAGGTTGAGTCTAAACTGAACCATTTTTAGCACGATGTCCTTCGTCGTGAAGTTGAAATCGAACTCAGAATATTTGAAAGTGACTTCTGGATCGTCTTCTGGCTCAAGGTATTTCGTTGTGAAGGTGAAACTTGACCTGAAGACTTTGGTGTTGTGGCGTTACAGATGACTCCTTCGTCGTGAAGTTGGGTCCATCTGTGAAGTTGTGTATCAGAACTGGATATCCTTCCTTGTGAAGTTGAAATCCAATGTAAGTTGCGTTGTTCCGAGGCCAAAATCTTTCGCCATGAAGTTGAAATTGACTTCGAAATTGGAAAATTGTTGTTGACAACCAACCGTCCCTTCGTTGTGAAGTTGAACTTGCGTTGTCTCGAGTCCAATATCCTTCGCTGTGAAGTTGAAATTGGCTCTGAAATTGGGAAATTGTTGTTGACAACCAGCGGTCCCTTCGTCGTGAAGTTGAACTTGCGTTGTCTAGAGTCCAATATCCTTCGTTGTGAAGTTGAAAATTAGCTCTGAAATTGGGAGGTTGTTGTTGACAACCAGCGATCCCTTCGTCGTGAAGTTGAACTTGCGTTATCTGGAGTCCAATATCCTTCGTTGTGAAGTTGAAATTGGCTCTGAAATTGGGAGGTTGTTGTTGACAACCAGCGGTCCCTTCGTCGTGAAGTTGAACTTGCGTTGTCTAGATTCCAATATCCTTCGCTGTGAAGTTGAAATTGGCTTTGAAATTGAGAAGTTGTTGTTGACAACCAGCGGTCCTTTCGTCGTGAAGTTGAACTTGCGTTGTCTGGAGTCCAATATCCTTCGCTGTGAAGTTGAAAATGGGCTCTGAAATTGGGAAGTTGTTGTTGACAACCAGCGGTCCCTTCATTGTGAAGTTGAACTTGCGTTTTCTAGAGTCCAATATCCTTCGCTGTGAAGTTGAAAATTGGCTCTGAAATTGGGAAATTGTTGTTGACAACCAGCGGTCCCTTCGTCGTGAAGTTGAACTTGCGTCGTCTGGAGTCCAATATTCTTCGCTGTGAAGTTGAAATTGGCTCCGAAATTGGAAAATTGTTGTTGACAACCAGCCGTCCCTTCGTCATAAAGTTGAACTTGTGTTGTCTTGAGTAGCGCGATATCCTCCGTCGTGGAGTTGAAATCGTGGATGTTTGACTTCGAGCTAGATATCCTTCGTCATGAAGTTGAAATCTACTCTCGAGCAAATTGTGAGTTCAATATCCTTCATCGCGAAGTTGAAATTGACTCTGCTAAAACTTGAAAAAGTTATGGGGATGTAGAGAGAAATCTCGATCTTCGATTGTCTGTATGGAATTTCGAAGATTTCGACCCTTGGTCTTGAATTCTTCAAATGTTCAAGTCTGATGTTTGTTTTTATATCCTTGATCCGAGAAATGCCTCTCGACCATCTCAAGTATATGCATGAGCCCTTATCAGCTTCCGAGTACCTGCACTTTTCAATGAATCTTTGTGCAATAATATACGAGTATCTTTTGCATGAGTGAATAAATCATTAAGTTTAAGCTCAATCTAAGATGCTCAAAAGGAATTGGTATAGAGAAAAGGATTGTCTTTTATTCATGAGGGAAAAAGAAACAAATAATACATGACAAATATTTTGGAAGATGAAGACATGATAAGGTATAAATGAATATCTTAGATTTCAATAATGTGGGCACTTCTGAGCTGAAAAGCCGTTAGGTGACCTTGAATACAACCTTTGTCAAAGGATCTTTGAAAAATGCGACAATCTTCAGGAGAGTGCAACATTTCTCTAACTCGTTGAGTCTGCGGAAATTTAGATGCCGGGGAATTTCAAATGTATAGGTTTCTTGAATTATCCAAATCACCCTTTCGGGTTTTCAACTTGGATCCATCCTTGGTTGCAAGACGCCCTTTGTGGATTTTCACCTTGAACCCACATTTTTGCTCTTTTTCTTTTTTTCTTTTTTTTTCTATCTAGGGCGCCCTTTCGGGTTTTCACCCTAAACGTTTTTTTACTTAGGACACCCTTTCGGGTTTTCATCCTATGCGTAGTATTTCTTGACTGCATCTGAGTTGATGGGATGTGGCAGGTCAGGTCCATCCATTTCGGCCAGGACAAGGGCCCCTCCGGAAAAGGCCTTTTT